CGAGAAATTAGATTCGAATCTGGCATCATCACGACGATTTTGTTTGCCATTCTCAATATGAAGTAACTTCTAACATAATAATACTTTAAACAATTAAAACAAAGATTGTTTCTTTTTAAAAATCACATCTATCGTTTACGAAGAGAATTCTGGAAAACAGTACAGTTACTATTTGATACATTTAGTGTTTAGTCGTCTTGTATTTGACGTAATTATCACGCTTGCACCCTTATGTTGTAATTGTAAATTAGGATGTTTTTTAACTTCTTTATTTGTGCTGTTTTGAAGAGATCTTGAATGGTTTTGCAAAAAAGAAAAAACAGGGTGTGCGTAGCCAGTTTTTTCAAAAAAAAATAAGCACCTTTTAAGTACTCAAAAAATATTTTTAATCACTTTCCAAAAAAGAATCATTATTTCGATCTGTGCAGTTATAAATAATTTTTTTCTATTGTTTTAAGTTCTTAATTTATAAACATTAAATTCAAAAACATTTTGAAAAACTTTACATAATCATGATAAAATAACGACTTTCTGATAAATATTGCAAAGAAAATTATGAAAATAATGCATTTTTTGTAATTTAGAACAACAATTGACGCGGCAAAGAAAAAAAATTTCTTTTAAAAGATACAAAATTAAGGACTTTTTACAAACTGAATAAAAAAGCACCCATAAGGGCTTTTAAAAAACGTACATCAAAAATAAGCACTTTTCAAAAACGCTACTCACCCTGAAAAAGCAGCTCCGAAGTGCCAAATTCATCAGAATTTTTTAGGTCTTTTTTTCCACCACTAATGAGTTAAAGTACCTAATCTTTCAACGATTAAAAACACTATCATAATTTCAAATAAATGTTCTACTTTATAAATTAGTGAACCCAAAATTCGAGTTCACGCATTCGTCCCTGAAAAAATTTATTTGTAAAAATAATTCCTAGGATAACAACAAAACATAAAAGCTATACATAATTTATAGAATATATCATAACCATTTCTCTATGAGGATTGAAACATTTTGTACAGGAAGAAAATTTATTAAATAAGATATAAAAGTGAACACAGAGAGATGAAAAAAATGAAAAATTTATTAATGAAATCTAATGCACAGTTACTTAAAACAAAAATTTACACACTTTTTTTTAATATTTTTTTTTTACAAAAAATGAAATGTAATGAATAAATTTTACAGCTAAATGATTTTTAAATGTAACTTACTCATATAGTGTAATAGTGACAAACTTTTTCGTCACATTTAAAATTTGTGACAAATGAAACACATTTGGAATTTTTGTACAGACAAGGAGAACCACAAATCAAGAAATACATTAAATATGCAAGGGCACATTTAAAACTAAAAACTTTTTTTCTCTAAATCCTTCAACACACTTTGAAATTTTTACTATCATAAATTTTTGTATGAATACATAAATTAGTTTCCTAATTACAATATACAAATGGGGATGAATAAAGTTATCATACGACAATAACGATCATGAATTTGGTGGCTAGTTTATTAAATTACAAATATTAGCTTGAGTTATAAATTAACTGCCATACAGAAAGTATGCATGAGGCCAAAAACAAGAGCCTTTTTTTAAAATTATTCTTTTTGAAAAGTGTACATCATCTGACATGTAGTATCAAAATTATAAACCATCTCAACTTTCCTGGGAGGCACCAGAGTTCTGCTTCTTAAACAGGGTTGCAACTCAAATCTGGAAAAGACATTCTCCATGTTTTTCCTGTACATATTATACACAATATATAAAAAGGAAACACAATTATTGTGATTTTGTGTCAGCTAACTAAACTAATTTAAATTGGAGAAAAAACTATAGAAGAAAAAAGGAACTGCTGAACATACATAAATAATGTTACAGTAAATGAAATATTTTTAGTATAACTGAAATATCATCCTTAAATATCCCATAAAGTGGTCACCATTTTTTAAAAGACGAAAATAAGAAACAAAATTTCCTGTATTTTCCCAGTTTGTGAAGAAAAGAATAAAATTTCCCTTTTTCCCAGTTTGTAAAGAAAAAATAAAAATTCCCTGCATTTTTCCTGTTATTTCAGGGGATTTTTAAATTCTCTATATTTTCCAGGTTTTCCTGTTCTCCCTGTGGAGTGGCAACCCTGTTAAATAAGCACATTAGAACAGAAAAAGGTAGTTAGTCATTTGTTTACAGTTAATAAAAAAAAATGCTATGTCAGATAACATTTGTAACTACAAACTTCAAGCTTAAAAGAGGTGGTTGTGTTCAGCCTTAAGGTATTTTTCCCAGCTCTAAACACAAGTTCAGTAACAAACGCTGAAGTTTGAGTACTTAAATTTAAGCAGAGTTTTAATATTAAACAATATATGCCAGACTGATGGAGAAAAAAAATTGAATCAACTTTAAAATGTACAATTAGCTTAAATATTTAAAGGCAGCAGAAATAAAACTGGAGGTGGGCTAGTTTTAAAACATATAAGAGTTGAAAGTGAGGCTAACCCCAAAAGTGGAGTTGCCTCGATATACAAATAAAACTTCTAATAGTAAGTTTAATATTACCTAATATACATTATGTAATGGTATAAACACTGCCATCAACAACAGTATAACGATTTTAGTAATTTATTTTGGATATCTGTTTTAATTGAAAAATTTTTGGATAAATTTATATACAAATATTTGAGAATATAGAAGGGAAAAAAAAGAATTTGTAAATTCTCGGTATTAAAAATTATTTATATTTAAAAAAAAAAAAATTATAAGTAAAAACATCTTATTTTGAACAAACATTTTTTTAAACATAGTTACTTTTACAATAAATTTTTAGTTTAAAATTGCCAATATGTAAATAAAATGAAGCCAACCAATATATCCAAAAATATATCTTAAAAAGATGCTTATCGATATATCCATAAGTATAAAAGCGAGAATGCTATTGTGTTAAATTTTAACAAATTAATTTTAAAATTTGCAAAAATAATGTCACGAAAATAACATAGCATTCTGAATAAGCAAGCAAAGAGCTGGGTTTCGTAACGAATAGAATTAAGAAGTTTTATTATTCTTTTTAAAATAATTTTAAGGTTCTAAAATATATTTCACAAGAAAATTAGTCTGAAGACATACAAAAGAGATTGCCTCAGACAATCATCAGTATCCAACTTAATTTATTTTAGTTTAAAAAACTACTTTGACAACTAATGCTCACTTTAATCATACCTCATTAATAAATATAAAAGGTGCTTATATAATCAAAAGTGCAACAAAAAAAATTTAAATAGATTACACATATGCAATAGTGCAAGGAATCACACATATTTCTAGCACAAATATAAATATATTTTAATTATACATAAAAGAACAATATTATGCAAAATGTGTTTTTGAAAGTGTTTCCATATAAATCTTACATGATTACTTCAATATATTTTAGAATAACAAGGAAAGAAATAACTAAACTGTTTTAAGTACAACATAATACTTAAATCAAGGCAAGTGCGCTCTAACATTGTAATAAGAAAACAAAAACTAGTTGATGTTGCAATACAGTTGCAACGAAAAAGATAACGCTAGAAAAAAATCAATGTGAAAACATATTGAGCAAACGATAATGGCAACTTTAATGATGCAAAATAAAAAAGGCCAATTATATCACAGAAAAAAGCCTAATGAATAGTTAAGTGACCTTTCAATAGTTTTACTTCTTTGATGAAATAATTTTAAGGATATATACAGGGTAAGAGCTGAAAAAGTTCTAAAGACTGAAATTTTAAAAGTAAATAGAAGATGTGTTTGAAGTTTTTGAATGTATAAACACAAAAAAATCAGATGCATATTTATTACAGCAGATCTCTGACTTTTCTATGCCTCCACTATAATGACTATGATGTTTTAATACAGTTCAAAGAGTGTTATAAAATTGAGATCGTACAATATATTAAAAACAAAAATCAATCTAAAAAAATAGTGTATTAAGTCTGGTTAAAAACAGAAAAATAAATAGATTTACTAAAAACTATTACAAAATTATAAACAACTTTACTTTATTTAGCAAAATATCCTATCATTAGTTTGCTCTTTCAACACATATATGTAAATGAAACCTAAATTATCAATATGAGCTTCTCCCCGATTAAAGTTTCAGCTTTTTTTTTTTTTAAATCATTCAATTTTTAAAATTTAATTATCATTTAACTAAGAAAAAAAATATTTTGCTTAAATGAGTATCTAATTTTTTAAAGCTGATAAGCATTTTTTATTTGCTCCTATTATAACTTATTAAATTTTATAACATTCTTTCAACCCACAGTCTTGAATTATTTAAAAAAAATAAAAAAAAAAAAGTGGAAATCCCTAAAATACTAAGTTTTTATCCCCAGATATTATGAAAATGTAATGTAATAGCATTTACATTACATTTAAAATTGACTGATAATTTATTGGTTATGCATCATTTAAAAATGCATAGCATATTTTTTTCGAAAATGTGTCAACAAAAACAAAATTACTTCCAATGCTTTATTTAAAAAAAAAAAAAAAAATGAAAATAAAATCAGTTTTAAATCTAATTGCATACTAGCTATAAAAATTTACTAAGTTTATTTAAGAACATGCATCATCGCTTATAAAATATCTCTAGCATAAAAATGCAAGGATTTATAATTATTTCACCTGATTGTCTTATATTGTTAAAAATTAATAACTAAACAATTACAAAACAAAAATAAAGNTTGCATACTAGCTATAAAAAATTTACAAAGTTTATTTTCAGAGAACATGCATAACTTATAAAATATCTCTCAGCATAAAAATGCAAGGATTTATAATTATTTCACCTGATTGTCTTATATTGTTAAAAATTAATAACTAAACAATTACAAAACAAAAAAAAAGCAAAAGCCCGAAACAAAATATTTACAGAAATAGTTTCTCAGGCATAATTTGTGGTTCTCCAAGAAGAAAACAATATATTTTTTTTAAAAAAATGTGCATGAACAATGAATTATTTTTAAAACAATGGGTGATGCATATTGTATGCATGTAAATGTCTTTTAAATTCAATCTAACAAAGTCAGTTCAATCAGTTGGCAGACTGGCAGCAGTTGTGTTGTTGGTTCTACAAATGCTACTAGAGAGAGAGAGAAATAAAAATAATCTGCTCAAGAATGTCAAGAGTCATAATCATCATCAATATTGTTGGATGTACTGTTGTTAGAGACAGGTTGCAGGTGAGGAACATAATGATGAGACGCACTGAAAAAATATACAAATTATAAAATAAAAAGCAAACAAGCAAAATAATTTTTTCAATCATTAATCAATAACAGTGTTTTCCCCTTTGAATTTTCAGCAGGGTAGCCCACCCTCCTTGCCCTTTCACAGCAGTAAATCCAGCTTCAGGGTGCGTAGCCAAATCTTTGAACAAAAAACAAGCACCTTTTAAGTACTTTTTAAGCACTCAAAAAACATTTTTAAGTCTATATACATTAACAAAATGCAAAATAATTTTCAAAGACTTTATATTATCATAATAAAATAACTAGTTTTTGATAAAGTACCCTTTTCTTGATTATATTAGCCATTAAAAAATGATCAAGAGATTTTTCGGTTCGATTCCAGAGGGTGGAAAATGAAACTTGAGAATGTCTGGCAAAATGCAACAGAATTGCTCACCGAACCCAACTCACTATACGCACATGCAGACTCGCAAGTATTTCCTCAAACTTGTAAAATGATTGAAGATTTCATACACTATGGACCGACGGTACATTGAAATAGATTGTGGTTGAATGAATTGTAAAAACGCTGAATAGAACAATGTAAAAAGCACGCTCTTGCATAATATGTGTCGAAAACCGACACGATAAAGAAAAAAATCTCATTTTCGAAAAGGGAAAAATCAAGCACACCCAATGATAAAAGCACCGTTAAGGGCTTTTAAAAAACGCAAATCGAAAATAAGCACATTTAAGCACTTTTTAAAAACGCTGTGCACCATGTATGTACAATATAAAAAGCAAACAAGATAATTTTTTTCATCATTAATCTATCACAGTGTTCTCACTTAGCCCACCCTGCTTGCCCTTTTACAGAGGTAAATGCATCTTCTTTACCCTTTTTGTAAAAATGTAGTCCCTTTTTTTAAAATGAAAAAATGTTCTTTTTTTAATTTTAAGAAAAAAGATAGTAGCAGAAAACATGAACTTCAGATTCCCATAACCAATGGAAATTATTTTTAGGCTAAGTCACAAAAATACTTTAATTTTTCATATATATTTCAGTATTTTTGATTTCGTTTTGAAGGGCACTAATCTAGATAGATATAATTAAAATGTTTAGCAAGATTAATGCTCTTCAACACAGAAGAGGTCCTTGTTTTTGAAAAAGCGCCCCACCTTTTTTTTTAATTTCTAGGCAGATCTTTGCAATAAATAATGAATGTAAACAAGTTTTTTTTTCTCTTTTTCTGCTAAGCCATTATAAAAACAATGTAACGTACATTCGATAATCGAGATAACTACCTGCCTTCTAAGCAAAACCTTACACAAGTTCAAAACTAACTCTGTTAAACTCGAACTGGGAGTTCAAAAAATAACTTTTTATCTACGTTAAACTAATAATGTCAAAAGTATAAAAATATTATCCCAACAAATAACAGAATATTAATAAATACTAAGTACAATAACTAATAAATAAATATACTATGCTATACTTTAATGCATTATTTTTGGCCTACTAAATGCATGTTAATTTTCTTACGACAGTGAAATTTCTTTTCATGTGATATTAATAAGGTAAAAGTAACCAAAATATTAATTTTTGAACTATTCATTTTAACCACTTTTTGGACAAAAGCCAATTAATGAGATTTCCATTTTCAAATTAAAAAAAATTCTGCATTTTCTAAATTTAATTTGGTATAGTTTCAGTCATAATATAAAAATTTAGAATTATTTGTATTTGTGCTACGTCAATAAAAACGAAGAATTATTAAATACAGTTTTATTTCAGATTGTGATGGGAGCCCCACTTGGTGTTGCATCTTACTAGGACGTCAAGATTCTAAGAGAAAGATTTAATCTCTAGAACCGATAAATATTAATATATCCTACTACAGAATACTAACAGAGTTCCCACTCTTTCAACAAAGCAAAAATTAAGCACTTTTAAGGACTTTTTTTGAAAAATTAAGGACTTTAAAAATAGTATGATTGTTCATTGAATATACATGTCTCCAGTGACAGTGCAAATTATTTACCGTCCTAAAAAAATCAATAAATAAAAAAATCATAAAAAAACAATTTTATTATAATGTAAACACTGATATAATTGTTTGAATTTAACATGGCTCACCAAAGAAGTACCAGGCAATTTTTGCAAACCAAGGTTGGGTTATATTTAAAACATTTTCAGATATTTAAAAGCTAAAGCCATTCAGATTGTAAAAGTTAATGTATGAAACTAATATGCATTCCATTTTAAATGATTTCATTGAAATTGAAAAAATTGAGCTGGAAAATTATTCCTGTCAACCATAGTGATGTTAAAAAACTAAGGACTTTTAAAAGCCTTGAACCAAAATTAAGTACTTTTAAGGGCCCTTATTTTCCAAAATAAAAATTATGCAGTTTTTAAGGACTTTTAAGGACCGTGGGAACCCTGTAAAATTATTAATATATACTACATACAATTACTAATAATACAATTTTAGTCAAAATATTAAAATTTAGAGAGTATTTTATAGTCTTGTTAAATCATAAAAAACGAAGAACTATTAAATACAGTTTTATTTTAGATTAAGACGGGAGCCAGGCTTGGTGTTGCATCTTACTAGGTCGCTCAAAAATTGAAAGAGAAAATCTTGAGAACTGATAAATAAATCCTTTTTAAATGTCTTATAAGAATAGAAGGAAAATTTATTAGAGTTTAATGTCGTTAAATATCTTGATACCAACCATGATAAATCATGAATTAATTATATTGAATGATATACCATTTCTGAGAAGAAACTTGTACATGATTACAAATTAGAAATAAAATATATTTGTAAAAAATAACTTCTTTTCAAATAATGACGCTTAATATTTTAAAATTTTTGAGAATTAATTATTTCTTACACTACAATATTTAAAACTGTATTAATATTTATTTGTTAATTAATAATTTTTTGTTTTTATTGACTAATTCTACACGACTACAACATCTATCATAATGCTATTAATGCATTACATACATACGCCTCCATATGGAATTAACAAATAAGTTTTCATAAGATCTGATTAATTGTATAAAAAAAGTTGTAATGCTTAATGAAAGATTAAAGCACAGTAACAATTAAATTTTATGCGATCATTATGCTGCTTTTCATCAATACTCCAAGAATTTCCAGAAATAGTATGAATTTCCCTCAAAATTTCAGGTTTTAAAGTGTTATTTTTCAATTCAATGCTAGAATACCCACCATGACTATAGATCAAAATCACAAACAAACATAATACAGACACTAACATTCAAAAGTAATAGTCATTTAAATAATTTCTTAGAAAATTTAGCTCACAAATGACTGATTGTAAATGGAAGCATAATGCTATCAAATAAAAACACAAAAATTGTAAATGCATGTTTTTGTAAAAGGATTTTCATAGAAATCAAAATATAAAATAATGAAATTAAATTCTGGTCATAACTTAGTTTTAATGGGTTTTAAAATAACATTGTGTGTATGGAATAGCAACCTAGACTTAATTAATATCAGTCATATAACTGAGATATCAAAAGCCATTAGCTAATATTTTCTGGATATAATCACATTTAATAATATTTTAATCATCTACTTCTTATATTTACTATACCAAGTATTTTTTACCAAGTATTTTTTAATTATTGTATTTCCCACATCATTATAACTTTATCACAGAATTAATAACTATAAAAAAATTGAGTGATGAAATCTGCTTTAGATAAAATTTAAGGCATTTGTTAAAAAGTGAAAACTTCCTGCTGTTTAATAAGTTTACCTTCTGCTTATGGCTGGTACAACAAATGGATCAAAATAGAAGGCTTTATCCTGATATTCTAAGTGACACACACACAAAGGATTAAGTTGGCAAAATCTTGATTAATATAATAGCAGGGTGCGTGGCTAAATCTCTCAACAAAAGATAAGCACCTTTTAAGTACTTTTTAAGCACTCAAAAAATATTTTAAGCACTATATACATTAACAAAATGCGGAATAATTTTCAAAGACTTTATAGGATCAAGATAAAATAACTAGTTTCTGACAAAGAACTCTTTTCTTGATTATATTAGCCACCATAAAAAATAGAGTGATTTTTCAGTTCGGATAATGGGCGGGGGGTGAAAAATGAAGCCTGAAATTGAGAATATCTTGCAAAATGCAGCAGAGTTACACATGAGAGAGCTAGAATCTCACTGAACTCAGCGCAGTAGACGCACATGTTGGCTCGCAAGTATTTCATCAAACATGTAAAATGATTGTCTCTTTCATACGCTATGTACCAAAGGAAAGCAGAAATGGGTTGTGGTTCAATGAAGTGTGAAAAAGTTGAGTAGAACAATGTGAAAAGCATGCTTTTGCATAATAAGCGTCGAAAATCGACACGGTAAAGGAAAGAATCTCATTTTTGAAAAGGAAAAATCAAGCACCTTTTAAAAATACCCAATGAAAAAAGCACCTTTGACGGCTTTTAAAAAACAAAAATGGAAAATAAGCACTTTTTAAAAATGCTACGCATCATGAATGGAACTTGATTATAGAAGCTTCTCACATTTGAATGATATTCAAGAAATTCTACATTTTGATATTTAAAAAAAAAAACTTTGAGCTTCAGAAGGAGTTAAAAATTTTAATAAATTTAAAATCACAATTTACTATATCATTTAAGAGCAGTGCTCTAAAAATATTTTTACTTTAAACTGATAAATAGACAGCAATTTCACCAGTAATTCGAATGTCTACCTTTAAAAATTTCATAAAATGCAATTTAGAAAAATTCCCACTGAATACATTCCCCTGAGAATATCCCCCTTGTAATATTATCGCTGAAAAAATTAAGTTGCTTATTCAGAATATATTCTGTTTGGCAATAATTTATTTTGTTAGGAATTTTAGAGCATTATTACTTAGGGCTTGACAATAGGTTTTATATAATCAATGATTTACAAGAATATGAAATAAATAAAAAGAAAGGATAGGCTGCATTTTATGCCTTGAGTATTCTTATCAAGTAGATTTTATCCATATTCACTTTTACCAAAACCATTAAAAATGCAACAGGGTGCAAGCCAAATTTTTGAACAAAAAATATGAACCTCTTAAGCACTTTTCAAGCATTCAAAAAATATTCTTTAACTCCTTATTTTTTTTAAAAATATATAAAGAGATACTTCCGTATCATGATCTCACCAACTAAAATTGCCAAGGTGACAAATAGATTTTAAACTTGTAAATATTTTTAAAAAAACTAAAAAATATGTAGATGTTTGCCTGGTGGTAGCCATGATTCGAGTTTCTGTGAGGTTTTTTTTTTTTTAGTTTCTTGTAGGTCGCTGCTCGGAAGTTGGCAAGACTTGGAGATTATTCTAAGACAGATAACGATATGGAAATCACCCCAAATATAATTAGGATATATACAAAGAATTAAACACGTACGTTTTGGAAAGTAACAATATAGAAGTTTCTAAGATCCATTAAAAAATCCATACATATGAACTTTCAATAATAGGAAGAAAAAAATTTTTATTGGTCTGCATATCCTGATAATATTATTATTATGTTTGTGAATGCTTTTGAACATTGAATGAAAACAATGCTTTTAATTTGTGACAAAAACAAACATGATAAAAAAATATCTCGTTTCGGAAAAGGGAACATTATTAAGGACCTTTTAAAAACACCCAATGAAAAGAGCACCTTTAAGGGCTTTTAAAAATTGAAAATCAAAAATGGGCACTTTTAAGTACTTTTTAAAAACGCACCTTGGGCATTTTTGGGCTGGTTAATTATATTCTTCACATCTAAGAAAAACTAAAACACTCGGTGCAACATTTGTTATAAAAACAAGAATTTAGTATAAAAAGTTACCACGGATGTCAAAATATATACAAATATGAAATTTTTCACAAAATATTTCCTAATTACATTAATACTTGAATCCGAAATTATACTTTACCTTGCTGCAAAAGCGACATTACAAGGTAAAGGAGGAATGGGTGCTGATGGCAGTGAAGAAATAACAGAATGAGATGGAGCAGAATCTGTACTGCAGTCAGTATCCTAAACAAAGAAAACAGATATTAATACACAAATAAATGCAGAAATAATAATGATAAATAAATTTATATTAATTACACAATCGAGTTCGCAAAATCAGTTTCATGTGCACTTTGCATTGCATTAACTAGTTTGTTGAAAAGGAGTATGTAATGTTGTGGAATGAAATATTTGACTTTTAGCAATTGTGATCATTAGAAAAAAGTACATATAAATAAGAAATAAAATTTTTTAATATTAGAAGCAAGCTATTTATAGTATTTTTTAAAAAAAATATTTCATTTTATTCAAAATATAATGTAATATTCATCAAATCCAATAATAAACAACAAATTTGTTTTGTTTTAGCAAGTCTAAAAAAGTAAAATCTAGAAGGAAAACAAACTTTAAGCAAAAATATTTTGACAATCAGATTTCTGTATATAAAAATGATTTAATCATTATTTGTACAGAAATCAAAATATAAATTAATAATCNGGGCATTTCTGGGCTGGTTAATTATATTCTTCACACCTAAGAAAAACTAAAACACTCGGTGCAACATTTGTTATAAAAACAAGAATTTAGTATAAAAAGTTACCACGGATGTCAAAATATATACAAATATGAAATTTTTCACAAAATATTTCCTAATTACATTAATACTTGAATCCGAAATTATACTTTACCTTGCTGCAAAAGCGACATTACAAGGTAAAGGAGGAATGGGTGCTGATGGCAGTGAAGAAATAACAGAATGAGATGGAGCAGAATCTGTACTGCAGTCAGTATCCTAAACAAAGAAAACAGATATTAATACACAAATAAATGCAGAAATAATAATGATAAATAAATTTATATTAATTACACAATCGAGTTCGCAAAATCAGTTTCATGTGCACTTTGCATTGCATTAACTAGTTTGTTGAAAAGGAGTATGTAATGTTGTGGAATGAAATATTTGACTTTTAGCAATTGTGATCATTAGAAAAAAGTACATATAAATAAGAAATAAAATTTTTTAATATTAGAAGCAAGCTATTTATAGTATTTTTTAAAAAAAATATTTCATTTTATTCAAAATATAATGTAATATTCATCAAATCCAATGATAAACAACAAATTTGTTTTGTTTTAGCAAGTCTAAAAAAGTAAAATCTAAAAGGAAAACAAACTTTAAGCAAAAATATTTTGGCAATCAGATTTCTGTATATAAAAATGATTTAATCATTATTTGTACAGAAATCAAAATATAAATTAATAATCTTTTTTTTTAAATATTTAAAAAATTTTTGACAACTGAAATAAAAATATAAAAATCAATCATTTTACAAAATAAAGGCTTTTACATGCTGAAATTTAAACTTTTATAATGGATATTTTTTTTCGGGTTAAGATTTTTGTGAAGAATTTAATTTTTGATCTTTTTCAAAGGATCGATAGGAATTTAAATCCATCTAGATCAAGCCCTGTGTTAGACCCTTTCAAGACAAAAATGTTATGGCAAAAAAAAAAATTTTGCACAGTGCAAATTCAGTCCAAAATGTTATTATACATGCAGCTTTTTAATGCTTATTTTTTCTCAAATGCACAAAATTCTTTAATAAAGAGCTTCAAATAATTGGATATTTGAAATTTTTTTTTATCGCTGACAAGAACAAATGCTACCACAGGGCAATACCACCTTAAACGTATGTCATATTTGCAGACTTCAAGTGCATAAATCACAAGTAAAAAAAAAAAATTAAGTAGTTTTAATAATGTATTTGTTTTTAAATAACTCTTATTGTCATTTGTATGTACTCCAAATTTTACCAACTTAGAAAAATTTTAAATTTTATAAAAATTAAAAAATTATTATAACAGATCTAATATATAGGGAAATTCTATAATAGAAAGGACAACATAACAAAACAAAAAAACATTTAATATCATCCCTACATTAAGAATTATTTTTTTAGCTTTTTTAATTCGTATTTCAACCAGAACTACATAAATAAGAATTTCACAATTCAAAATGCTTCCAGCCATTTGAAAGGTTTTCTTGGCAAGACCCTCTTCAGTATATTTTCAGGGGTCTGTCTAGGTTTTTCTGAGGGGTACTTATTTTGTGAAAATTTAGACATCATTTGTGAAAAATTTAAAATTATATTAAAAAAATCAACAGAAAAATATGGATGTATCGTTTCTTAAGGGATACAAAAATAAAATTTTAAGAAAAAGTATTTTGTGAAAAATTGTTTTTCCTAAAATTGAATTTGCGAAACTACCGCTTTTTCTAAAGTTGAATTTGTGAAGGTACCGCTAAACGGTAGTAAATTTGGCCTGGACAGACCCCTGATTTTATATGTCAAAACTGTTGAGGCAACATTGAATATGCAACATTTTAATAAAATTACAAGAATCCAAACAAAAAAAATTCATGGCAAGGGAAATGTTTTATACAGACTGCTTAACTATGCAAACTTGGTTCGTGTTATTACACTGATTATGAATATAAAATTAATAAGAACTAAATTTAGGCATACAAGAAGAATCTAATACTTGTAATAATTACAATAATACAATCCCTGCTGTAGTGAACCATCATTGGAACCAGCAACACGTCCACTACGGTTCACTATATCTAGAATCTTTGAAAAAATACTTAAATACTAATTTAGCATATTGCAATATTATTGGAAATAGTTATTGCATGTTTTGCTTTAGAATTAGTAACTAAGCATAAAAAGTCATTTTACAATCTAGTTTATTTATAGCAAATCTCCTCCAAAAACTAAATTTCTAATCAAAATGTTAGAAAACATTAAAAAATACTTTCCATAAAACAAAAGTGGTTCTCACCCCATAACAAGTTTCTTAGATGTTATTCTTTTTCAATTTTCATCAGTTTTTGGAATATTTTAGACTGTTATTTTTGAAGCAAGTTGAATTTAAAAATAGGAATTCCTCTGCAACCAATTCGATCTATGTGCCTGTTTTTGAAACCACTAGGGTTATTCATTTCATCGAAATATCTCACTTTAGACAATCCTTTATAAAGTGCATTCTTTCATTTTCAATAAAAAGTCATGATTATATATTTTGTACTTTTCACATAAACTGAACATCTTTTAACATTAATTTAAATATCAGATAAAGGGTAATTTGATGGATCTCATTATAAACAAATTACTAATATTTAAACTGATCACTATAAGCATGTAAAATAACATTAACTAAACATGAAAATGACTACTAAAAATGTTCACTATGTCCTGTATTCATAATATTAATGGTTAAACAGTATAATAAGGTATATAACTGTAATAAGGTGAAACTATATTAAGGTTAAACTGTATTAATAAGGTAGAACACTCTTCTAGAGTTTCCTTAAATTTTACAAAATTTAAGATGCACAATTTGAATGATCTGACATAGAATGGTCCCATATTAAAGAAAAGTTACAAAATTTTAAGTTTGTTAATCAGTTATAGCATTTATTAAACCTATTAATGTCCAAGTCCAGTATTTTTTAACAAAATTTTAAACAATAAAATTTATTGGAGAGAAACACAATACATACATAGTGATTCGAGAAATTATTTTACTTGATTTTATTTTCCATGCATTTTTATGTGAGAATTCTAGTAACAAAAAAACTTTATGAGTCAAATGAAGTTAATATATTAGTAACTAGGATTATAAAATGCAAATCTACCTCTTCTCCATCTTCTTCTGCACTCCACGTTTCAGACTCATCAGCAGTAGAATGGCTGGGTCCCGCACTATCTTCACTTGTGCCTTTATCTTTCGGTCGTCTTCCCCTAACTGAGCTACAAAATATGTTTAAAAAATTGAATAAAAAGAAAATTTTTACAAAAGTTCAAATTTTAAAGAAAATATAAAAAAAATTATAATTTCACTTAGGAAAAATGATGTTTTGAATTTTTAATCGAGCAAATGAATAATTTTATATAAAAATCATGCTTTATACAAGATAACAATCTAATATGAAGTTAGTATTTACCTCTGACAGTTTCGCCGCTGGAACAGAATGGTGTTTAATATAAACTTTCAAATTATTTACATGCAGAGATGTGGAAAATAACTTTATTAAAATTAACAAAACAAAGAATCATATGCTGCAACATTTAGTCTGCGCTACAACATTTCCAAAAAAGCATACTAAGTTGGCAGCCCTGCACATACATGAGCTTTATTTTCTTTTGAATCTTTGTTGCAGTTCAATCTTGGTTCTTATATATAATGTTAACATTGAGGAGTTTAAATTAAAATAAACATTTATAAGAAAAACATCTACAAACATGCTTAAATTATTCAGAATTTTTTTTTTTTTTCAAAATAACTTAGCCAACTTTTAGTTTATGGTGGCAGAAACTGTGTACAGACAATGCTTATAATTTTTTGGATTCACAGTGGTCACTAATCATAAGTCTATAAAACTTTGTTTAGTTATTTGATTAAAACAAGTAATTAAAAAAATATTTAAATTATTTTTAAATTTAACTTTTTAAATCTTAAAACACAGAAAATATAATAAAAAGAGAGCATTACCTGTCTTAAATACGAAAAACACACACAAAATCTTATAAAATAAGCAACAGAAATTTAAACTCTGTTGAAAATTTTAAAGCAGTTCAGTAATTTTATTTTTTAATAGCAAGCACTGAAGACTTGTTTTTCTCCTCAGAAGATGCTGCCCTTTAATTTTACCCGGTGGGTACCCGAGAACCTAAGTCACAGAGGAGAGCAGCATTACCCACGCCACATTGCCACAGGCCCATGTTCATAGGGTGGGCCACATTCACACGACAAAGAACAACATAAAGAGAAACATCCATGTCCTGAGCGGGATTCGAACTCCCAACCATTGGCTTCGAAGCCAAGCATACTGAACACTCGGCCGGGATTAGATTAGTTCACTAATTAGTGCTCGTTGCATAGCACTAAAATAACATATTGCATTATGAATATAAAAATAGAGTATCTATTTTTATATTTAAATTGCTACAAGCTTAGTCATTTTTTTTTTCATTCAGAAGTATCAGCAAGCAATAAAAATGAATGCAATGAATGGGATTAGATTAGTTCACTAATTAGTGCTCGTTGCATAGCACTAAAATAACATATTGCATTATGAATATAAAAATAGAGTATCTATTTTTATATTTAAATTGCTACAAGCTTAGTCATTTATTTTTTCATTCAGAAGTATCAGCAAGCAATAAAAATGAATGCAATCATGTCTCGTCTCAAGACTTAGAGGCAGTTCTCAGTCCATGCAAAAAATTTGTACGCCATGCAAAAGAGAATCAGATTGGTAAATATTTTCACCAGTGAAAAACTTGCTTTCTTCTTTTTGATATGCATTTTTTTTTTACATGCGGAAAAAAATAGGCAGGAATTGAGAACTGTTCTTTAGACTTGATGTAACTTGAAACCTTTGTCTGCCTATTCTCAGGTGGGCTGCTATTTATAGTTAACATATCAACATCAAGCTTTGGATTAAAGAAATAGCTCAAAATCGCCAATAGTGGGTCAAGATTAGCATGAAATGTTATTGTTGCTACTTTTCCCACACATTGATAATTTTACGAACTTCCCTGACTTTTCCAGATCCATAAAATGCACTGTTCTGTTTCTGCCCCATTCTGTTCCAAATTTAACTTTTGATAGCATGTCTGATAAATCACAGAGCTTCAAGGAGACAATGCTTATTCAATAAACACCATATGTTATATAATATATGTTCAGAACTCTACAATATATAAAATATATTTCCAATTATACAACAACTATGGACTAAAGAAAAACAATGTATAACAACATATTAACAACAGTATCATACATAAACACTTACCGAACTTCATGATCATTGCCAGAGAGAATATTGTCATCTGTAATGCAAGGATTCATTTGCTCTTCTTCCCCTTGAACATCAGGAACCGATGATACTAAATCCCTTAAGAATTTGAAGTTGTTATCAGCTAAAACACATGCTTTCCTAAAAAAGTTCATTAAATATTATTTTTCACAAATAATATTTTGAATTTTAAAATTACAATGAAACAATAGAAAAGATAAAATTTTAGAGACATGGTATTTCATTAAAAGGGTTCATTGAAAATATTTTGTGCTAAATTTTTTGCTTAAAAAAAGGACTAATTGTTTGCACATTTTAATATTGATGACTTAATTTAACAACAAAATAATAATTAAATAATTGATTAACTAATAACAAAAAAATACATAAAAGGCAGTATTTAAAAAAAAAATAGACAAAAATGTTTTTCTAACCATTTCATTAATAATTTCTTAAGTGAAAAGTAAAATAACTGATAGACTTATCTTTAGTAAGTTAATTGTTCAGACTTTTCTAACTAAAATTTTGGAATGTAAAAAAAAAATGCAGCAAAACTGATAAATGAATAAAAGAATTATATATCTATGACTTATTATGTTTTCGCTGCTTTACAAGGTTTTTTTTCTTGCCAGTATCTACAATAATAAATGCCAATGTAGGGTATGGATTAAACTTGTGCATGCAGATAAAATTGATATAATATTCAAAAGAGTTGGAATAGCAAACATTTCGATTCACAGGGGGTCACTTTAGGAAGAAATTAGATCCATTTATAGACCTTTTACAAAATTCAGATTCTTAAAAACAGACACTTCACAAAATTCTTTCTGAAAAAAAAAAACGGATTTTTCAAAAATTCAGAACTGCTTAAACAGACTTTACACAAAGATCTATAAATATATGTTAAATAATATGCCTTCAGTTACAACTCGAAGGGAATTTTTGTAAACATAAAAATGTGAATTTTTTGTGAATTACGGCAAAAATAGTTTTCTACTACAATTATTGAAAAGAAAAAAAATAAATAATAAATATGAATAGATAATGTCAGCATATTGCATTCAGAAGAAAATAGAAAAGATCAAAGGCTGAGTTAATATGTTGTGCACTCACACACAACCGCAGAAATTCATAAATTTTGTGGATAATATTTCAAAATTTACTAGATGGTGCTTTTGCATAATTCCTGCCTTTTTATGAAAAATCATAAATTCAGCTTTCGCCTCAGTAGAGATTTTTCTCATATTTGACAAACCAGATTTCTTGATGCCAACGATGAGTAAAATTGTAAAATAACTAATAAAATTGACATCGTGATTTCTGTAAAGCGGTTTATGAAACAGATATAATATTAAAAGTAATTTAAATCACTGATAGAATCTTCAACTCATGTAATTCACAACCCAAATTTTTTGAATCATGCTTTCACTATCCATATTCAACTGATTTACAAATTACAGTTGGCAAATTATCACTATTTGCAAGTCCTGATTCATCAAATACCAAGATTTGTATCCCCTTGATTTGAAAATTGCAATTAAAATTCACATGATTTCAAAATCAAACATCATGATTTGTATTCACGCAGTTTAAAAATCTTATACTGCAATTAGTATGCACAAGATTTAAAAATTAAATAGCATTATATGTATCAGTAAGTTTTCAAAGTTTAACATCACGATTCAAATTCATAAGATTTCTATAACATTGACTTTTGAAATTGCATGAATAAAAGTCATGCATTAAATTTCATATTCACAAGATTTAAAAATCGCCAATTACGATTAAAAACCGCACAATTTTTTAAAAAATCAAGCGTTACAATTCCTATTCATGCAGTTTAAAAATTACACATTGCAACTGGTATTTACACCTTTTTAAAATCCATTATTGAGATTCGGATTCAAGCAATTTTAAATTCAATCATTTCGATTCGTATTCATGAACTCGCTTTTAAAAGTTTACCAAACTAATTCTATTGATTGCAAAGAAAGAATAAGTTTTGTATCCTACTTATAATTCAAATTTTGTATCCTATTTATTCAAAACATATAAATTCTATGTTCAAGCAAATAATAATTTAAAAACATTTTCATGAAGATATTTTTATTTCAAGAATGATACAAATCTGCATGTCCAAGTAATCTGTATCTAACAAATTTAATAGTTAGTTATAAAATGTAGTTTTTAATAAAAAAATAATAATAATATGGCTTACAATTTTGACGATTTTTATACATTTATATTTTAATACGTAAGTATTAAAATTTCATAAAATGGGGTTTTAAAAAAATCAATTTCTTCTCATTATAATTATAACGAAAATTTATAATTTACTCTTAACTCAGAATAATTCCTACATATAATTTTTTTCTGTCTAAAATTTCAAGTAATTTTCATTAAGCCACAATCACCTCTGATTAAAGTTATCTACTCTGATATATTATATTTTAATATAATGTGTTATTTAAATATTATTGTTATATTTCTAATTTTAATATGTTGTCAAAAATTAGGAATTATCATAAGTTTATTTTTGAAATCCAAGTAAAATCATTTACTTTAATGTAATATTTCCATCGAGACTGTTAGTTAAATTAATACAACATGTATAAATTAAGAAGCATAATTAAGAAAAATATATAGAAGTACAAAAGTTAAGAAGATTATTTAGTAGTACAATTTGCTTTAAACTTTTCATATGTATCCAACTTATATTTCCATTTTTCTCAACTCCTTTGTTGCAAATGCAAAAAGAAAAAAATTTCGGATGTTTCTGAATTCATACATTTATAAATATTAGAGTTTATATAATATAATGCGTAGAGTAATTTAGTAATTCTTTAACATACAGAAATTCACATGCATACCATTTCCAAATTATAATTGATAATCAGAACATTAACATATTCAATTATCATAGATCTAAAAAGAAAATTTCAGTTAAACTTCATTTAATTAGTCCAGTTAAAGGTCTAAATGAAGACGATCTTTAATTTTTATTAAACTTCAACTGCATTCAGGAAAACTGTCAAAAGAATAAATCACAAAAAAGATAACTGATGAAATGTTTTAACAAGTAAATTGCACAACTAGGAGAAAAAAAACATTTTGTTCTAATAAGTTTCAGCAATTTTTTGTTTGTATTACAATCTCCTTGCATAAATAGAGCTTGTAACATAATCATCATAAACTAAAACAAGTTAATGTAATAAACATGCAATATATGGTACATTAATGTTAATCCAGACACTTACAGATGAGATGAGGTTAATGTTTTGGCGTTACGACTTTTAGTTATAAGACTTGTCTTTGTAACCAATGATTCAACAAAAAGCTCTAAAGCTCGAGCTATATTAAGTTAAGGAGATATACACCAACTTGTAATAACTTCAGTTCAATACTTATCACAAAAATAATTAATTATATCTATTACAAAAGTAGAACAATTGAAATGAATAAGTTTTACAAGAAGAAAAGGAATTTTTAAGAACAATGCACTTATATTAAGGATGAACAACTTTCTTTTGATAGGCTACAAAAAATAAAAAATTTCACGTAAAAACAAAAAAGGCAAAAAAAACAGGAGCAAATTGCATTTAGATCCTAATCTAAGTACCATGTACAGGTAAAATATGTGTACGACAGCAGATTCACGTGCAAGAACTGAATGCCACAAAACAGTACATTTTAAGTAAAAAAAAATTTGTAAGAAGGCTAACAGTAAATTCTTATCCCAGGGATGAGAGTAGTCAGAAAGTAAAAAAGAGGAAATCCAAAAAACAAAAAAAAGAAAAGAAAAAAAAGGAAAAAAAAATATATATATATATATATATAAACAAAAATTTGACAAAAAAGTGCGATTTTTAAACTTGTAAACCATGTGAATATAAATCCCGATATGAGACTTTTAAATCACGTAAATATGAAACTCTACATCGAATTTAAAAAATGCGAAAATACAAATCATGATTTTTTAATTTTTTGATCACGATGCATAATTTTTAAATCGCGCGATATTACAACCACAAAAACGAATCACGATATTGGATTTTAAGCTCACGTGAATACGAATTGCTACATAGGGCTTTAAAAGCTCGTAAATACAAATCGCGATATTGATTTTTTAAATCTCGTAAGTAAGAATCGCACTGTACAATATTTAAATCGCCTGAATAAGAATCGCAACGTTCAACTTTTAAATCAGGTAAATACGAAAATCGAGATTTGATAATAAAATCGAGATTTTAAAAATGCATAAATACAAAACACGATATTGGATTTTTAAATGTCGTAAATAAGAATCATAATATACGATATTTAAATAGCGTAAATAAGAATCGCAATGTGCAACTTTTAAATCAGGTAAATACGAAAATCGATGATTGATATTAAAATCGCGTGAATAAAAATCGAGATCTGAATTACGAAAATACGAGCTATCCAGCCGACGGATAAAAAATACGGAAAATCTTATTTTCTGTGCGTGAAATCGGAGAAAATAGCTAAAATAAGTAAAAATGCGGAAGGGTTAGCAGCTAGGGCGTAGATTGAATTTTCTGTTTATCTTTGAAAATCGTAAATAAATATAATTATTTTACTTCAATGACTGAATTTTAAAAAAACGGGATATTTATTTTAAAAAAACGAAACTTTTAGAGAATCGGAGTTTTTGATAAAAAGGCTGAAATTCGAGAGACAAAAAAAATCTCATCCCTGTATAAAGGTCAACCAGTTTTATCCCAAGGAAATGATTTTTAGAGAAACTTCAGAGGGAGGAAAAGGGACTTCAACAATTTCCCTCCGCGGAAAAATAAATTCCTCATAAAACATTTTAACTTGGGCAAAAAAAATTTCAGCGGAAATTAGCGGGAAAAATGGAAAAATCTTAAAAAAAGCGGAAATCCGCGAATCCGCGGAAGAATCTCATCCCTGTTATCCATAAGAGAATTCTTAAGGAATTTTTAGTAAAATACCTTACACAAATAAAATAAAAAAATATATCCCATAATCGAACACAATAAGGATACAAATGATCACAGGGACAGGAGCAGCAACTTTTCCTATATCTTCATCTGTTTGCATTATCTTTTTGATGCGAGCCTACAAAACAAACACAACACTTAAGTAAATTTTAATAATGATTAAATGTTTTTTTACACAGTATAATTTAAATATATATACCTCATAAAATTGTTTTGTTTTTATTTATTTAATATCCATCCTAAAACATCAGAAATTTAATTTAATTAAATATAAAAATTAATAAATTGCACAAGAGGTATGATCAACTCAAATTTACTGTTCGGCTATCACGAAAACACCTCCAGACATTGGAACAGCATGTTCGCAGTTGTTGTGGTAACGAAGATACTTAACTTTGAATAAAGTTAGTGATTTTACATTGGTTATATTGTTTATTTAATTCTTCATCATTACAAATGGCTTTACTCTCATTTACTCAGTAGTAGCCAACTTTTAATTTGGAAGAAGTTCTCCCGATAGACATCAAATCATGCATAAAATCTAGTCTCATGAAGAAGAAAAAGAGAGAGGGATAAAAAATTACTAGGGCACCGAGTCACAAAATCTACGCTTACCAGAAACTTAAGGGCATCATAAAATCTAATCTTTCACGAGACAGAAAATTTATGATGATAATATTAGTTACAAGAATGAACATAAAAACTCTGATATGTTCTGAATGTTAACATTTGATTTAACTCTTAATCATTTAAATAGGATAGGGGACCTTCCTCCCTGCTCAATGGTCTACAAAGCTGTGTATGAAATACTTTCAGATAGCTTTGCAATCTGAGCAAGAACTCATTTAATATCTTAACTTTTTACTTAATTTTAAATATCAATTTACAAGATGATTTCGCACAAAGTAAAGCTATATTGTCGCTATTACATACCAGCCAACATTGGCAGGGGTCTGTCTAGGTTTTTGTGAAAGGTACCTATTTTGTGAAAATTTAGACATAATTTGTGAAAAATTAAAAATTATATTAAAAATTCATACAAAAACATGGTTGAAATATAGATTTATCGTTTCTTAATGAATACAAAAATAAAATGTTAAGAAAAAGTATTTTGTGAAACTACCATTTTTCCTAAAGTTGAATTTGTGAAACTACCGTTTTACCTAAAATTGAATTTGTGAAGGTACCGCTAAACGGTAGTAAATTCGGCCTGGACAGACCCCTGATTGGAGAAATAAAATAATAGTGATTTTACAAACCATCCCAATTTTGGGTTTAAGACTACTAATGTTCAACTTCGTAGCCTTGTAATTTTAAACCGAATCTAGAAGACAAGAGAACTCCTGGACCAAGTATTGGGAGAAACTTGTCTTTGTGGAGGCCTTTTTGATGGAGCTAATACGCATTTAAGTTACATGGAGAGGAAAACCACAAAAACCTTCCACGGTTTGCTAGACAACAAGGGGCCTAAACTGTGATCCGTCTACCACAGAGGATATTTCACTTCAACAATGAGGTCGATGCAAGCCGGATGCGGAATGCATATTGACTGGTCATTGTTGGGATTTGAACCTGGGTTAACTTCATTGGAAGGTGAACGCTCTATCCCCTGAGCCATGACAGCTTGAGTTAAGCAATTAACACTCCACATACTGCAGTGATGGCATTAGCACCATCTGTTGAGGAATAAGAGAAGTATTTTTGCCATCAGTGCATATATTATCACAATCTTTTTTTTTTTTTAAATTGTTTCCCTAAAAAACAGGAGAGTTGGCAAATATGCTATTACACATTTCATAATTAGAATTAGCTGTTTAAAAAAGGGAACCAACAGAAAAAAAGAAATTTATTCTTTACTACGCAAGATTTTTAATCACATGAAATTGCAATAATTTTAGCATGGAAAATCTAATAAATTAGAGAATAAAGGGGTTATTAAAATTTAATTAAGAATAAATGAGTGTATTAGTAAGTAGGTGAAATTCACAATATGCAAATGTATAGATGGTGGAAAGTTACAAAATCACATACCCTGTAGAAGGTCTACTTTTTTCAGCAAAAAACCTTGCAAAATCTTTTGGCGATAATAGATTAATTTTTAAAAAAAATTGCTTTGTAGTATAAAAAATTTTACGCTGTATCTGAGAACAAATAGCAATATTAAGATTCAACAACTGAAGCAAAAATAATGACCTTTCTTATTTAAATATTATTTTAATGAAAAAGAAAATAACAACCAACTAATAACAACCAGTCATAAAAATAAATTTAAAAAGCAAATAAAAGTAAATACCTCAATAAAAATAATTATAAGTTTAATAATTTTAATATCTGATGCTTTAAATTTTAATCAAAAACTAGGAGTTTTATTATAAAATAACCCAATTATATAATATTTAACAGTGTTTTCATCATAGAAAAAAAAATGGGTTAGGATTTCTCACCCTTTCTCAAAAACAGGGTTAGATTTCAAAAAGTTAAGTGATATTTTTAAAAACTAAAAAGACAATCTCTTGAAGAAAAAAAAATTCTTTAATTATAATACATTTTTAATGTCTTCTAATTTTTAAAGCATTGAATATTTTTGGTGCATCCTCATAGAAGATTTTGCCTTTACTAGGTATTAGTCCATCTTACATTAGTGCATAAAAAATTTGAACGTCTTATAATAAACCTACGGTAAACACGTGGTTGCAGAGAAATGTGTTCTGAAAGAGATTCCGTGGTTCGGAGGGGTTGTGTTCTGTTGTTCGAAAAGGTTCTGAACAATACTGGTAAATAGGGAAGCTAGATAACAGGGCAGATGTTGAAAATAATGAAAGATCCAGGAAGAAAAGTGAAACAGACTTTAATCTAAATGGCATTATTCGAAACTTTTTTCAAAATGCGAGAAATTCGCGAATTTTGAAATTGATTTATAGAATGAGCGAATTTCTCGTGGTAATAATTTTTTAATGCAAGATTCTCGCATTCTCGCGCGGTAGTGAAAACACTGATTTAGGTACTATTTAATTTTTGAAAGGCTTAAATAATTACCAAAATATTTAGGCCAATAGTATATAATTATGAAAATAAATACACAAAAAAATCAGTAAAACTCTTACATTAAAAAATCCCATTGTAAAGAGATTTCCGTATTGTGATCTGCGACAGAATAATCGTGAAACTAAAAAACTCGTCACAGAAAGGGACCAACCCTAAAGGTATAACTCGTAGCTTCCCCCAGGTAAACATCTACATGCTATTTTTTAAAAAAATTCTTCCTTTTAAAATCAATTTGGCTCCTTGACGATTGCAGTTGGTTTGGCAGATCGCGATACGGAAAGATCCCCACTACCGCAAATAATTCATATAAATATAATACTTAAGCCCCCATCTCTATCTCTTCTAAGTATCAAAAATAAACGATTAAAAAGTTTTAAGATTATATTGCTATTATGTAATTCACTCCTAATATAAACTTTAGGCTAAGCTGCTATAATAAATAAGCGTCGTTGTAAGTAAAAATAAGCAATAAATTGTTGCAAAACCATAAAGTAAACAATATATACGTGAATCTTAATACTCGCTAAGATTTTAAACATGCAATGTTTTGAAATAGACATGTAGAAGTTTGCCCAAGGGAGGGGGGCTACGAGTTATACCCTTTGAACATGTCCCCTTATTTGATGGGTTTTTTTTGTTTTTTTTTCACTTTCGTGTGGGCTGCTGCCTGGAAGTAGGTAAGACTTGGCGACTATTCTGCTGCAGATCACAATGCACAAATTTCCCCTGTCTTGGTGATTGTAGTTCGAGCGAATAAATACCAATACAGAAATGTCCCCATTTTTTCAAATACAATGGCAACTTTTTTTCACTAGTGATGTTTGATAAGTCAAATATGAAATGTATACTGTTATTAGCCATTTATTTCAGAAGTAATGGTGAATCTAAAGTACTGTAAATAAAGATAAAAACATTGAAATAATAAGTATAAAGTCAATGGCAAAGTTGATTATCACAATAATTTTTATAAGTTAAAAAAAAAAAAGGCAAGTTGGTAAAACTCCTACATTAAAACTATAGCAAAAAACACAATAAAATTTTTAAGCCCCCCTTCTCTTTAGGTATCAAGAATGAAGGATTAAAAAAAATTAAATATTGTATTATGTTTATGCAATTCATTCCTTAATATAAACTTCAAACTAAACAGTTATAATACATAGACATCGTTGTATGTAAAATAAGCAATACAGTGTTGCGAAATCTTAAAACTAACAATAAACGTGACTCTTAATATTCCATTTAAATAAAAATCTTTATTACTAAATAGTATAATTAATAGATAGTAGATTCTCGATAAATACAATGAACAACAAGAAAAATCAATGTCGAAAATGAATTAAAAAATAAAATTTACTACAACGTGGAATAAAAACAAATACCTTTGAAAGAGATTAGGGTTATAATTTTTTTAATAAATAAATCAGCCAACACTTCGATAAATAATTCTAATAATCACCTTTATATTAAATACTAAACACTTTTTACTGGTAAATAATACGAAAAAAAAATAACTTGCAAAATAAACATTAGAATATCATTAAGAAAAGTAAACAATACGTTTATTTTTTACTTACAGGTGGAAATCTTGCATTATATTTCTTCTTTTTACTAGGCATAATTTTCACCAATTAATCGGCTCAAAACGTTGCTATTTAACACAAATGTAGCTTGTTTTTATAATGACTTAATCCACTTTTATACACTTATTTCCGTTGTATATTCCGCCATCCTTTTATACACATCAATCACGTTAAAAAGTACTGAATGCTAAATTAAAGACACATATTTAAATAAAATGTATCTCAATTAAAAGCTTCATTCCATAATAATCACTATGTTAAAACAATTAAATTAAATGCAGTGACTCGATTAATTAATAAAATACGCATATATTAGGAGGTGAAAGTGCCGCGCGCGCTCACTGTTTCACTTTTGAGTTGTTAGAGGGCTGTGTTACGTGTCACATTGCTTTTATACTCAAACCTTATTAGTGACATCAACACAATTAGCAAAAAAAATGTACAGGAGTATAAGCAATTACCAATTCTCATCTGTCTGCTGCTATATTGATTACATGCTTTGAAGAAAACCTACTAACTTTTTGTTAGTTTAAATTTGTTTGAATCTGAGTAAGCTTCCGATTTTACCACAGTGTGCGCGAAATTGAATCAAGCAGAAACAAGTGATTGAAACCTGATATGTGTGTAAAAGCGTGTTAATATGCTTTGAAAGTGTCACTAAAGCGGTGAAGAAGGGGATTTATAACTTTGATTTGATTGATTGAATTTGGGGGTGTATCCTGACCGCTTCAAACATGAAATACAATTTGACACTAGGCGTTAAAAGGGATGATGATAACTCAGTCGTATATTACAAAGTGAGATTTAATTATTATTATTAACAGAATTTGAACTTTTTGTTGCTTATGAAGTTTAAATTACAATTATGTAACTAATACAAATGTTGACACTGCTAAGATTTATGTTACATATCCCTTGTAAAGCTAGATTTATAATGATCAAAAATATCTTTTGTGTTTTAATTATCAAAATAATGTTTGTAAAATATTTTGAATATTAGTAAATTTTTTTACTTAGTTTAAATTAAATAAATATATTTGTGTGAGATAGTAATATAAAAATCTGTGTGATTTGATTTCTAAAAATGTATCTATTAGTGAAGGATAATAATGCACTTGGTTAAAAAGAAATTAGTAAAATTAAATTTTGTGATACTGGTTTATATTTTGTTTGATATAAAATTGTTTTTGTTTACCAAACAGCCTCACTGCCAATCATTTGTTTAGTGCAACATGTTTGAATCAAGAAAAATATTGTTTTAAACTATATAACTTTGTAAATAAAAACATTTAGTTTAGAATGGCTGATAATTTGTGTGTGAAAAAAAATATTTATACAGTTCTTAAATTATGCTAGCTTTCAGCTTCTCCTAATTTAGAAAGCAATGTAATGAGCTCAAAAGATACTTATAGTCCTTATACTCCTTATACTTTTACTCCTTATACTTTTTGTACTCCAGCACAAAAATAATTCTCTTTTTCATTATATCTCAGTTTCCGATTACCTATCAAAATACAAACATTACAGGATAAATAAGCTGGGCGACCGCCTTGGGCTGCCAAAAATTCTGGATTGATTTATAGTTTTATTACAAATTTTTCTTTACCTTTGCTAAATTTTGAATATATTTTTAAAAGTTTCCAATTTCATTTCTGTTAACGTTCCTTTATATCAGTAGTGTAATTTTTAAAATAACATGGAACTTTTTGTCCACTTTCAACTTTTATGTCATTTAAATTAATTGTATTAAAAATTTCAACTATTGCCGGTTTGTGAGTGTGTGTGGAGGCCAAGGGAAAATGTAACGTAAAATAAATTAAAATTCTGTAAAATGTTTTTCAAATGATATTCTTTCAACGAAAACTTCTGAAATTTTTCACTTTTTATCATATTTTGTTAGTTTTTATCTTATAAAAACAATTTTTAAAAAAAGACATTAATAATTCAGTTTCCTAGTTAAATTTTCAGTTACTTCTGTGATTTTTTACACTTGACACTTCACAATTTAACGCAGTTTTGCAGTCTATGTGAGTTAATTGTAATCTTGTAGCCGACAGATCTTTTTAGATCTAGTTTAGTGGCAAACAGATGACGAAAAAAAAAAATTCAGTGTTTCAAGATAATCAAAAATATTTAAATAATTAAAATGAGATTGTAGATTGAGATTATATTATTATAATAATAAATAAAATACGATAATTAAAATGAACATTTTGTATAATCTAATTTCATCATTTTAAGCCTTCATTTTCATTGATCAATCCTGAAAATTGAGTTAAATTATACTACTGTACAGAACCCGTTATCCGGAAATCGGAAAACCAAAAAACCGGAACGAAAGTCTATAAATTTTCCCACCATTTTTTAAAATTTTTTTTTATTTCCCTCTTAAGATTTTAGGATTTTTCTTTCTTTTTTGATAGATGTTTACCTTACCATCATTTTGGAAATAATTATTAGTGTATTACTTCATCATTTTTCTTCTTTTTAAGATTATTTCCAAATATTTTTTTTTTAGTTGGGTTTAACAATGAAAAAACGGCTTTTGTAGCGATTCAGAAAACCGGAAAAATCAGTTATCCGGAATAATGATGGTCCCGATCGTTTCGGATAATCGGTTCCCTACTGTATTTAGGTGTACCACTTTTCTGTAGATGTGCAGAATTCTAGTTTTTTTTTTCTTTTCTGATTTCCATTACAAACTTAAAAGTTCTAAAAATGCAAAAATTTTATATGGTGAACCAAGGGTTCATCCACAAATTGTGTAAAAGTAATTGAAGGTATCTTAACTATTCTACCCGATATGTTGTTTCTTAATTTTTATGCATAAAGTTTTTTGCATAATATAAAAAATCTGAAATTTTATATGGGAATTGGGATTTTTTTTCTTTCTAAAACTGTGTTGTGCCTGTCCTTATACATAAAGAAAAGTTTCACTTTGAAATTACCGTTAGAACTAAATTTTGCCTATCAGATTAAAATGATTTAGACTGAGTTTTGAAGTTGAAATAAGATTTGGAAGTTTATTTTTTGAGATAATTGGTTTGAAGAGGTTTGTATGATGATAGAGGCAGATGTGCATATTGGCTGATTGTCATTCTTATATCAAATGAATAACGGTGAAAAATGTGAATATCTTGTTTTGACCAATTTTATATGCCTGCAGAGGTATCTGCATAGAAACTTCCTAGCACTCTTGTCCCGCAGTGGACAGATCGTTAAGACACGTTTCCCAGCAGATCACCGTAGTCAAGTGGTCACCCACCAGCACACTGACTGCGGTCAGTAGGCTGGTGGTTGACCACTTAGATTAGTCTACGTAGGGACCGAGGGTATGCGGTATTGGTCTTCGTTAAACTGTTCTACCGTAATGAGCTCGACTTCACGTGCAGAGCGACAGCTACCGAAGCTGGGGTGCCATCTCATCCGCTGAGGATCTAAATTGTGATGGCATGTCTTCGGATCATCCTAAGGTATGTTTCCCAGACCGTCGCCAATAGCCCATTGTGCAACTCTAGTGCGACGTAAATAAACTACAACATCAATCCTGACACTCTTTAGTGAGAACTGTGCATCCTGTTCATAGTGCATTCAACTAAGGACCCAAAAGTTTCTGGTTTAATCCACGTGGGCCGTTAACGTCTTTCATGCACTCCTTCGTATGTCTTTTTATTTTATTAAAGAAATTTTTTGTTCTTTCTGAAAAGTAATTTTTACTTAAAATATTGGTGTGATCTTAATTAAATTTGTCATCTTTATTGCAGCAAGATGGGCAGAGATTTTTATACAATTGTACAATCAAGATGAATGTAGAGACTACTTATAAATTTTCCGTCAACTTTCGCCCACCTATTCAAGTCAAGTAAGGTGTAATTTTTTTAACAAATCAATTTTTTATGCAGCAATTTGTTAATTGAAAAATAATCTTTTTAGACCTGTTTAAATGGCCAGTGCTATTTTAATTTTCAAATGCTTACCTATCCTGACTGTAGACTAACTCTTCAACCTTAAGGCAAAACTGTATTGAAATTTAATTGCTAAGCACTACTTTCCTGTTGAATAATATCAAGGAAAAATAAATTCAGAAAAGACACCAGATTTTAATTCTGAAAAAGTCTATAGACTAATGATCAGAGAATTACTATTTATTAAAAATATAATGAAGATATTTAAATTGCTAAGCAAAGCTGAATGTCTTTTTTCATTTTTAGGTCTGCAACTATAAAAAATTCTATATTAGATGTAAGAGAAGAAGAATTTACACCAGAATCATCTACTTATGCACTGTTATGGACGACTAATGATGTCTGTGTTTCAAAGAAAAATGTTCGAGATCATTTTTCTCTTAATCTTACTGTGAGTAAGAGAATTTTATTGTTCCTTCCTTCAATTTAGTTTATTTGCTAATAGTTCTTCATATTTTAAAACAAATTGTTTTAGTTCATAATATGAAAAAAAAATTTAAACATCTCTTTTTAAAGGTTACTGCTGAATATATTTGTAACGTTACTGCTGAATATATTTGTAACATTACTGCTGAATACTTTTGTAATGTTACTGCTGAGTATATTTGTGACGTTACTGCTGAATATATTTGTAATGTTACTGCAGAATATACCTGGTTTTTCCACTATGCAATTTTTTCTAATTAAACACTATGAAAAAAACTAATTGGTTAAATGGTAAAAATTTCCAGATCTTGAGAGTTGTCCCTTGCTTTATAAGTCTTACTGCTCCAGCATTTAGACATCATGCTCATTTAAAGTTATGTATATAATGCATATACACTGTAATCTAAATTTTTTAATTTTTGAAAATTTTAAGAAAATAAATTGTTTTATTCGACTAATATTTTTATAATCCTTTCATAGCAATGTTTGTTTTTTTATTTTATCTATTAATGATTATAATTTATTTATTATCTTTCGTTCAAACTTCCTTCTTAAATTCATTTTACTAAATAAACTATTGATTCTAATGGAGCTAAATGCTTTATTGTTGCTGATGTGATTATACCTTGGTAAATTTACTTTTTGATTTTAATTGATCATGATATTTTATAAAAATACATTTTTAGAAGATACAATATGCATATATATAATATTACATATATATGATGGGTGACTCATGTAACTTGTACTTAGTTATAAAATTATTTTATTTGATTAACATATTTTATCTTTTCATATCAACAGTATTTTTTTAATTTCATTTTTGATTAAAGCTTGTTGCTTTATTTCTGTACAAAAATTAAACTTATCAAAAATAAGTCGATAGCCTCATTGGAAAATGTGTAACTGTAGATAATGTGATTAAACCTTGCTAATTCTACTTTTTGACTTTAATACATAAGAATAATATTTAATGATGACTTCTTCTAATATTTTTTTACATACCAAAAAACACTAAAAAATTGGATACTAAAGTTAAAATCCTTTAAAAAAGTTCAGAAAGGAGCTTTAATGTAAGAAAATTAAACTAAAAAGACATTCAACTAAAAATGCAATGCTAATTAAATTTTTTAAAAATTTGAATATATATATATATATAGAGAGAGAGAGATTTATATAAGGATTCTCATTTGTAACTATTACTACTTAAGAATTTGGTTGCTTTTGTGTATAACAATTTTTTACCCGATTAATTTATTTTAATAGTAATTGAAGTCTTACAACAACTTTCAAAAATAAATTCATTGATCAAAAACTTTTTTTCCTTCTTTTTTTTTAAATTGTGAAATTTTATAAAGCTACTTAAAGATTTTTGTATAAAAATTTCTCTGTTGAATAATATAGAAAAAATATTATGCAAATGAGCAATGATGTTAAACCAAACCCTGCACTGAGTATCAGAATATTAGTTAAATGGTTTTCAAGCTAAAATAAGGAGGAAATAGTATTTTATTAAATGTACAATAAAATTAAAATTTTCACTTAATGTTGAAGTGAATATATTTTTTTTATCTAAAAAAGTCAAATTTATTTTAAATGAAAAATAAGAAAATGTGACCAATGCATTCAAAAATTTTATTCTTATTCTACCTTGGGTGCTTTTTTTTTTCTATAATAATGATCAGATGACTTTATATCTGTAGCAAAAAAATTATCAGTAAAATATTGAAGATCACATGGCCTGATAAATAAATAAAAAAAAATTTTGAAATTAATGAAAAAAGCTTTAAGACTGAAATACAAAAATTCATTGAATTATTAGTGAATTATTTATTTAAAAGAGACAGAGTTGTTAGCTCAATTCTAATACAATTATAGCTTACACAATTAAAAAAAGTATCCTATGAAGGTCTCTTTTCTTTCTTTTTTTACTGGGCTAATTCTTTTAATACTTAGGCTAGTTGACTTAATAATTTTTAAACAAACATTTTTTTTAATTATTGTCCTTTCTATTTTTTGATAAAATAATTTATTATACCATGTTAATGAATTAATTTATTTTTAGATTCAAGGCTTGGGAAGTTTGGAAATACCATTGCAGTTCAAGTTTTATAAATCAAATGATAAGAGCCATTCAGTTTGGGGCAACGATTTACATCACATTGAATATGAATGCAGTTATAAAGATGAAAGTGGTATCTTTGAAATAGGAAAAGAAGTTTTCAGATGATTGGCTTTTTTCCTCCTAAATATTTCTGCTTATTTGAGATTATTTTTCATTCATTTCACTGCATTCAAGCAATATGAAATTTTTTATTTAACTTAAACCTTTTTAGATAATTGCATTTATTTACATTGCAACATCATTTATTTTTTAGTTAATATTATTTTATTGAAAAATTGCATTTATATTTCAATAATTATCTATATCCACAATTTTAGAGAGAATTATATATATTTTCTATTTAAAACATTCTGGGTAAACACTTTATTAATTGCTTGCTTTTTCAAGTAACTTACCTTGGATGTCTTAAACTTTTTATATTGATATTGCTTTGTTTTTCTCTAAATTTTGCATCGTCAATATTGATATATTATGATCCCTATTACAGGGGTGTGCATCTTTAAAAGTAATTAATAGTTTTATCTCTTCATTGTTATTTTTTTCTATACTTAGAATTGAAATTAGTTTTTTGAAAGAAAAAACTTTATTATCAGTAATTTTGCAAGTTTTGGGCATAATTCAAAGCTGGTTTTTAAATTACAGATTTTTAATAAAAATATTACTTTACTTACAGTGCAAATGAAAATTTAGCACTTAATGCTTAAGTAATTTTTTTTTTAAAGATTTAAATTTATTGAAGAATTGTTAAGTTCTTCAACTGCTAATAGAAGTGTATGAAAACTAATCACTCTTTATATTGGCCCCTACTTTATGTGTTTTGTCTTTCCGATAGCTGTATTTTCTAAAGATATAACACTAATGTGAAATTGGTTGGATTTATAACAGTTATTTGTGGAGCTGTTTGTACAAATTCATGAAATTTCTTTAATGGACATTACACTTAATTTTATAATATGTGTACAATTTCTTTTTTTTTCTTACTATGTAAGCACTATATTAATTTACTAGCATATATTTGCATCCAAGCATTTTTTATTTTATTTCTATAACTATTATATATTTGCACTTATTAGTATCTGCATTTAGTCTTCAAATTTTATATAATCTTGAGCTTAGTGTTTAGGTTTTTAAAATATAAAATGTCATATGTAAATTACATGAGATTTTTCTTAAATTTAGAATTTATTCTACTTCTTTCACAACACTTTTAATAAGCTTACTCACATTTTTCATGATATTGCACTGCCTTGTACCTTTTTTTCAAAGTTTATCTTCTATTTATCAGTTACTTGCCAATTCAAGTAACTTGGATCTCATAATCTAAGTCATTTTCAAGTTTGATCTATTTTTCTTCAAATCTTGCTGCATAACTTTTTTTTTATATTTAATATCTATACTTATAGAACACCAATTCATTTTATGTTAAATGCTCCATTTTTTATGGCTTCACTTAATGAAAAAAAAAATCATGTATACTTATATTTTCTTAATACAAAAAATGTGCTTTTTATTTATATTTTGCACTTGTAAGAATTTGTTTTATTTAGAATCTTCATCTAAACTTTGTCTGTTTCACTTACATGAAAATTTATATATTTATTATAAAATAATTAATAAATAAGCAAATTTTAACTAGAAAACTTTCAATTTCTTTTTCATTTTTTAGTTTAAAAATCCTGTTTTTTGAAAACGATCAATAAATTGAGAGACATCTGATTTAGGATTATTAACTCTAGACAAAATCAAATTTTTAAAATTTTATTATGTTCAACGCATTTTGAGACTGAATTATTAGTAACTTGTTGAATACAATTTGTTTTTTAATAAAAACTCACGACCACATTTCTTCAATGTTATGCAATTTTCATGAAACTTTTTTAATGTTTCGTGGAATGAAAAGCTACTGCCTCATTAAAATTCATCTAATATTTAATGAAAAGTATGGCTTTGCTAACTTCAATTTGTTTAAATCAAAAATATTTTATACTGATTTCATATATTTCTTCAAATATCAGTATAAATTGATTTTGTTAATAAGAATTATATTCATAGGTTAAGTTTTCAATGTAATGTAAATTTATATTTAAAAATAAAAGCTTTGTTATATGTCAAAATCATCAATTTAACTCTGCATTCAAATCTTAATGGATGCTTATTCAAATTCCTTAACTTAAATAATTTTATACACAAAATATTCTAATTTGAGGAATAACTTGCCTTATCTGCACCTAAACACAATTTCCGAGTTCATGTTTTTGAGACATTTGTACTTAAACTGTGCTATTTTTTGAGCATCATTGCTCATTACATCAAAGTTGTTTAAGTGTCATTTTTTTCACACCAGAATTTAAATGAAGAAAAAAATGCATTAATTTTTAATCAAAGACTCTATGTCATATTACAAACAGAATATCTAGTATCTTAAAAATAAGAGAAAAATCTAAATGAATCAGAATTGTGGTGAACTTAACAGTATAGTACCTTGTTTTATCTAAACTTACATTCTAATTTCATTTTTTTAAAACTTGATATAGATTACTGTAATTCAATATATAGATGTTAGGTGCTGGTCCTTTAGTAGCTCATCTTACTGGTGCTAGAAGAGTAGGGTTCTGTATTTTTGCATTTAAGTTTTAGGAAATACATAAGAGAATACTTTAAGATTCCTGTTACATACCTTCTTCCACCTTGTAATTTTTATTTTATTTTTTTGGAAAAAGGATCTCGATTGATTAATCCTCATTTAATTTTCACTATTTCTGAAAGTTTACTATATATACATGTATATTATGCCTCATTTAATATCCCTGCTATACACGCCTTTCGATTATATCTAATGTAAGCAATCATATGCAGTTTTTTTATTTTGCTGAAATTAATTTTTTATGTATTTTAGTCAATAATATAGAGATAAGAAGAAATAAAATTCAGGAGAATCAATCTTTTTTTCTTTTCTTTTTTTAGATCTTGTATTTTGCTAAAAACTGTGGAACCAACTGAAAGAAGTAGCATTTGCATATTTTTGGTAATTACAACCTTGCAGACAAAGGGGAAAGTTGAGCAATCGACCATAAAACTGCTTTTGGCAGGAAATTACTTGGTTAACCACTAGTCGCGACACTTTTTCTAAAGTTAAAATGGTTTCTTTTCTGCTACGAAAAAGAGAGAAAGACTGAATGAGTAGTGCATAGCAGGGAAGTTTCCGTATTATTTTGCCTGAGAGCTCAACACCTGGGGGTTTAATTAATACAAAAGTGAATGAAAGCAAGAAATGGCTGATGTTAAACTCAGACTGTTATAATTAAAAGAAACAAATTTTCAAACTCATTAAATAAGTTTGCCAGATACCAGTCACTTTTCCTTTCATTTACTCCGAAATTAGTTAATTCTCCTTTTATTACTTACAGTTTACTCTTTTCATTAGTCATTGTATTCTTGATTCCCCCCCAAAAAAAACTTATTTTACTTTAAGTCTGGTTTACTTCTCGATATATATCCTTATTTTAAACAGATTGCAATGAGAAAAAATTATTAAATGTGTAGTAGACGTGTTTGCTGAAATGCCATAATATAAACCACCTACTTTAATTCTTTGAGAATAAATCAAAATATTTTAATCTGTGCCATATTTATGAATGTATTTCCATTCTTAACGTTATTTATAAAAGATTAGTATTATTTAACTTTTTAATTTCCTTATTTTTAAGGAGATTTTAAAAGAAATATTATAATTTAAAAATGAAATGAACTGTTACAGTATTATGTTTCATTAGTTATTTTAAATTAGTTTTTTGTCTTTTCTCTTTTGTATGTTTTTACCATGTGAATGCGTATAAATACATTTTCCAGCATGTTGTTATATAGTGTCACTATATTTGTGTTTTAAGAATATATTTTCACTGTGTTTTTTGTGTTCACTGATCCAACAAAACATGACATATAGCTATGTGATTTTTTCACTAGTATTTTTCTGTGATACTTTTGTAATAGAGGTTTAAAATTTTATTTTAATCTGTATTCACAATTGTTATATGCTGTTAGAACTTGCTTATATAAAATTTGGTTTGTATACTGGCTATGATAACATTTCATTCTTAATGTTGTTATGCTGTATTTTTTAATGAGCATGTGGTAAAAAATTAATGTTTAATGTTCTAGTCTTAAATGTGTTTTATTAAAATCAAATGTCTTGTATTCTATAATCTCACTAGTCAACAGTGTACTGTAGAACTCAACTAATTCAAATTGAATTTGTATTGTAATGATGAAAAAGCTATTGTCCCAATTTATGATTAGTTTGAACAACTGGTGACAAAATTTTGATAGTATAAACTCAACACAAAATTACTATGATATAGTGTCATAAAAACTGTTGTTCAAGTGTTTAATTCATAAATCATCAGATAATCCAAATTTAACACAGGAATTTGCATTCAATGTGGTCTGTAATCTGAATTGTAAATAAGAACTTTACATTAGAGCATTACATTAGAGCATTACATTATAGCCATATTTAGCTATAATGGCTAATGTAATGTCAAAAATTTTTAACTTTCTAAGACAATGAGCTAGAATCCGTATAATGATAAAGCGTTGAAAATAAAAACTTTAAAATATATGATTTGAAGATCACTTATTTTTTTGTATTGAAAATTGCAATATCTGTTTTTGAATCATAAATGTCAAAAATCCCACTTTTAATCTCTTATGTCTGTATCCCAAAATGACAAATGATAATCTTAATTTTAGACTATGTAGCTTTGTTTCTCACTTATAGAGTTTAAATAATTTTGATCTGGAATAGATATCTTGACAGAGTGCATAGCATTTTTAAAAAGTGCTTTTTTTTCTCTTTTTTTAAAGCCTTTAACGGTGCTTATTTTTCATTGTTAGTCAAAAAGTATTTAGTTTTTTTCCAGAAAAAGTATTTCTTTGGCATGAATTACGCAAAACGTGTGGTTTTTGGTGTGTCATTCAATTACCATCCATTATATCCCTATTTCTTTTATTATTATTCCATTTCATAATCATTTGAGATCATTTGATCATCATAATAATCATTTGGATCATTCGAAAGCACTAATCATATTACATGTTTAATGAACTGATAACTCGCAGATGTGCATGTGTGCGCAATAAACCAAATTTTTTTTTAAACATTTGTGCACTCACACCTGCAATTTATGGGGTTTTGAGATTTCAGGTTTCATTTCCTGGCCTTTAAAGTCACACCGAAAATCTCTTGAATAACATTACTAAATGTTTCCCCTTATACCAAATTAAAATTTTGCTTTCTTTTTTTTTATAATTTTAATGAGTTTCTTCTGACATAAACAATGAAGCTTAAGTTCTTGCATTGTCTTATTTTTAAATCAGTACCACAATTCTTTATTTTTTTATCAATTAGGTTTTCTTTGTCTGCTTAGCTGTCTACGCATCCGTATTATAAGTTCTGTATAATAAAAAATATTAATCTTATAAGTTCTCTTGTTTAGTATACCTTTATAAATAATTTTTATTTAATTCTAAAAAATAACTTTTGTTTAAATTAATGGGGAATAGATTATTTTAAATTAAAATTATTCTTTTGCATAATTTATTCAATTAGTTAATTTAAAAAATAGTATATGTAATTCTACAATGAACATTTTTAAAATTGTGCATAAAATGTTTTTATGGGGCTACTAAAATTAAAAACAGTCTTACAGGAAGCAAGTTGTTTATTTATTGATTATGTAAAACTTTGAAAAAGTTTTTGAAATTTTTTAATTTATGTATAAATATGAACAATTTTCATAAATAGGAAGAAATTTTTTTTATTGGTGCACGACTTTTTTCTGAAATGCTTACAAATATTTTTGTGCTTAAAAGCACTTATTTTTTGTTGAAAAACTTTGCTACAGACCCCAATTTATGCTTAATATTATAATTTTAATAAATTTTGAGATAAGTTGTCAAAAACTTAAAAGTTTGTAGGACTTCTATGCAAAAGCGTTACCAATTATTTTCGTTATGAATTTTCCTGTTGAATTTATATTGAATGAGTAAAAATTTTAGAATAATCTTAACTTTTCCTGTTAAGCTAACAATGGTTTCATTCTGATTCAAATTAGTTGAGTTCTACTGTATCATTAATGAAAACAATTATAATTATTTCAATTTGTTTTAAGTATTGCATTCAGATGTAAGTGCATTTAATATTGAGTATTTTCTCTCTTAAAACAGTGAGCAAAATTTGTTACATCTTCATGCCATCTGCATTTAAAAAGACTTAATAACCAAGATGCTTAAAAAATACTTTTCAAGGAATATATAATTTATAGAAAAGTTAGATACATTTTTTATTACTACTTTTGAAAACCTTACATTATATTTCTGAAATTATTGATCTGAAGATTTTTCCTATTTTAAATTTTAATAAGAACAACAAAATCTACATCAGACTAAATTTTAAATGGATTCCTCCAAAATTCATTTTATTCTATAGCCTTTGGACTAAGTTTTTTGGAGTTAAGCTGCTAGTGTTATCGTATCAAACTTTGTTCCTGTCATTACGTATGTCGAAAGTTCACTTGCTGAGTTAAATAAACTTTCTAATTTATTTTATAATATTTTGCTTGGCAAGTTGACCAGTCTTATTATAATTGTAAATCTATTTCGATGATCTGATTTTGATGTATTTAAAATATTTTTACATTTATCTTGATGTCAGTAAAGTTCTATTTAATGTTTTAAATTATTACAATGTTGAAGATTTTGAAAACATTGTTTGATTGTATACCAGTATCTACTGAAAAATTAATAGTAAGTAGTTAGAGGGATTTGTTCTTCTAATTTTTTGTTTTAGGAAGAAAAAAAACATTAAATATAAGCTCTGATGATTTCACTGCTTCTGTCATTTACAGTGCTTATTTATGTTCTGTATTAAGGCTATTTAATCATTATCTGAATTTTTCAATCAATCAACTTATATCTAAAACTTTAATAGCCGTATTTCATTTTGTTCTGCTAATATTTTAACATTTTGCAATAGCATAAAAAAGTTAAATTTTTGTTTTGTTCAAAATGTGGAATATACAATGAATTTTGGAACTTTAACATTTTATTAAAAAGTAATCAATCATAAGTTTAGAACTTAATCAAAATTATAACACTTATGATAATAATGCTTCGATTTATTAAAGTTTTGAAATTAAGTTCCTTTTATTAAAATTTTGGAATTCATTTTTATATCTTATTTATTTGAGTTACTTTGAAACACTTTTAATTATCAATAACTTAATTTAATAAATGTCACTTAAATCAAAATAGATGTTTCTTCTATTTCACTCGAAAGTTATTATTTCGTAAGAGTTTAATGTGCATCTTAGCTAATTATCTGTGCTAACATACTTACAAGTAATTGTTTATTAAATAAATATATATATATGAAGGTTGCCAATTTTACAATCTTGTGAATTTTGAATCTATTAAACTGTTTACCATTGCAAGGTTTGGCAAAATAACTTGCCCAATAAAACAATTAGATGTATGCAAATGTTTGCGAGATTTTGAAACAGATTATTTTCGCAATCGAAGATTTCTTTGTGTATAAATATTTATAGAAAATGTCTAAGCTGTTTTGCTACACCTTGTAAATGCTTCGCACATTTTCCAACATCATGCACGGCAACTATAGGTCACATAATACTACATTATTGTGACTGATTCATTCCTATAGTACATTGAAACTAGTCAGAATATGTTAGATTACATGTTCGTAGTTGAATGTGTAAAGCAGCGACGTTAAAGTTCAATGTACTTGTTACTGCAACTTGTTTGTGATTTTAGAAATATATTCGACTTTTGTATACATTTTTTGTGTGTAGAGTCTATTTGATAAGCATTTAATGATAGATCCTTTTTGCCTTAGGACTCTTAGTCACCTTTTTATTGCCTTAAAAAAACGAGCTTTTTTGGCTCGTACTTTTATTCGGGACATTTTTTTATGAAGCTGCAGGGCTGTTTGCATCATTGTAACTCTTCTTAAACGCTAAATTATTTTTTTAATTTTCCAAAGTTCAAAAGTCTTTTTTTTTTTCTTTCCCTATCTTGCATTTACAAAAACTTCCCTGTTATGAAGAGATCTGTGTTGTGATCGTTCCAAATTGTTTCCTCAACATTTTTTACTGAAAAACGTGCCTTTTTTTAAAAAACAAATTGCTGTAAACCTGATCCAGTCCATCTGAGCTAAGCTTTAAACTGTATGAAACGA